TCTGGCTCAGGTCTGGCTGCTGTGCTCAGCTCCTTCCTGCTGCAGACCTGGGCTAGGACTGGGTCTGGGGGTTCCCGAAAGTCGGCAGAAATTCCTACTGGGCGGGAGGGGTGGGGGGGTTACGACGGAGTGGTGGGGGACAGCCTGAGGGAGTGGGAGAGGGTCCGGCCCACGCTTCGCCTGGGCTGGGACTGGTCCTGCCGGCGCAGGGTAGCAGGAAGCTCTCCACACACTCACCGGACCTGGGCTAGGACTGGGTCTGGGGGTTTCCAGAAGTCAGCAGAAATTCCTACTGGGCGGGAGGGGTGGGGGAGGTACGACGGAGTGGTGGGGGGCGGCCCGAGGGGGTGGGAGAGTGTCTGGCCCATGCTGCACCTGGGCTGGGACTGGTCGCTCTGGCGCAGGGCAGCAGGAAGCTCTCTGCACACTCACCGGACCTGGGCTAGAACTCTGCCTTGGATCATGAAGGAGACTTGAGACTTGGACTTTTCAGCAATGCTGAAACTCTTGGGACTTTGGTAACTCATAGAGATGGACTGGAATGTTTTTTGCATAAATGGATGAGCATAAGTCTTTGGGGGCCCAGGGGTGGAATGTTATGGTTTGTGTATAGTTGTCCCCCCACCGCCCCCTCCCCCCCAAGCATCATGCCGTCTTGGGCAAGCTTCTGGAATATGTGCTTGATTGCTTTGGGTGTGGATGCTGCACCTACCCTGGGGCAGGTAATTTGCATCACAGTGTGAGCAGGAAGAGAAGCTAGCTGCTTGAGCTGCTGCTACTCCCCCTTGTGCTCTTGCTCTTTGCCGCCATCATGAAAGGTTGCTTTCTGCTATGTGCTGCTCTGCCTTGGACCCAGCTGATTATGGACTGAAACCTCCAGTAACTGTGAGCTAAAGAAACCTTTCCTTCCTTCAAAATAAAAAAAAAAGTGACATACTGGAAATTAACACCTCAGTCACAAGATGGCCAAACCATTTGAATGAAAGTGAAAATAGCCTTTCAGACCTAGAAGACAAAATTGCACCTAGTGAAAAGGTAAGGAAAGATCTCTTAAAACAACTAGGTTGCAGGAAAGGACAGTTCAACATCTGCAAGACGATGCAAAGATGAACAATGTAAGACTCATAAGCATCTATGAGAAAGAAGGAGTTAATACAAATGAAATAAAAGAATATGGGCAGATGGAAAGCAGAAAACTTTCCAAATTGGGGAAACAATCTGACATTCAGTAACTGAAGCATATAGAACTCCAAATAACACCAACCCAATTAAAAGCACACCAAGACATATAATAATCAATATCCCAGAAATTCAGCACAGGAACAGTATACTAAAGGTCACTAGAGAAAAGAAAACAGATCACACCTACAGGAAAACCCATCAGAATAACGGCAGATTTTTCTTCTCAAACCACCAAGTCAAGAAGAGCATGGAGCAAAGTACTACAAGTCTTACAAGAAAACAAATTCTAATCGAGAGTGAGAACATAAGAATACAGAAACTCTCTTCCACGTTTAATGGAGAAGTGAAATACATCCAGGACAAAGAACTAAAGAATTTCATGAGGACAAAGTCAACCTTGCACAGACTACTATAACATGTTCTAGAGAGGGATGAAAATGACCACAACTCGATGAATGAGAAAACAAAACAACACACCAAGGAGGGCAAACAATTAAACACAGCAGAAAAGGTGATATACAACAGCAGTCTTTCAGGCAGGCATTATACCCCTGGGCTGTATCCCCGGCCCCACAGCAGTCTTTCAATGACTTTGTATCCTTTTTTTTTGGTGGAACCCAGGATTGAACTCAGGCCCTTATACTTGCCAGGGAAGCGCTTATTCTACTGAACCATCTCCCCAGCATGATCTTTCCTTTGTATCCTTTTTTTTTTTTTCCCAATGACTTGAATTGTATACAGCCGCAAAATATTTCCATCAGCGTACTCTACAAATGGACTTCTGCACCCTGTGGGTCATGATTCTGTCAGGGTGTACAGGGTGGATAGCAGTAGCTGAGTCCCACAAGTGACACCTGGCCACCAGTAAGTGTCATGGACACTGTATAGGTCCTCCACATACTAGAACTTTGTGTGATATCCTATCTCCAAACTGTTAGAAGTGCCCGTCATATGTTGGCCATTCCAGTATTTTTGTTGTTTTATTCTTAGTAATTCTTTACTATCATGAAAGCATTTTCTTAGTTGATATTTGTGTATATATTAAACTATTCAAATACTGTGTGAGTACTCTGAATTGATCACAGACTTGTACATATGATACACTACATTCTGGCCTCTTAGTTGGCTTCACAATTTAATTTAGATTTTTGAATATTGTCTTGAAATATTTAACTTAATTTGTATTATTTTAAATTAATTTTCTGAGTATTGTTTAATTTTAATTTTTGTTTTATGACTTATACTGTATCTTTTACTTGCAATGTACTTATAAGACATGATGTATTTTCTCCTAGTATTATCAACTTTAAAAAGTGTATTTCCATTTTCTATTGACTTTATATTAGTTCTTCCTTGTCTTTTACATACAAACACACACACACACACACACACATATGAAAAAATGTATAGGAAAACATGAATTTTTTTAGCTAAAGAAATACCATTTTATTGAAAACTACAAATGTTTTTATTACAAGCTGAAACTACATGCCTTCCAGAAATCAAAAGCAACAGCAGGTGTGTGCATGGATGCTTCAGAGGTGCTGCACCAGCTGAACTCAAGATGGGTAAGACAGGGTCTGACACATGGGGGAGGGCAAGCCCAGAAGGAGTCCACCAACTCATCCCAAGCCTCGCAGGCATGCCCTCAGCTTAGCAGGCTCTCCTCAATGGTCTGGTTCCTGAAACAAGACTTCAGTGAAAATTTATATACACACACACAAAACACAGCCCCCCAGCCTTGGCCAAATTAGCTCTCAGCCATCTAGAAATGCTTGGAAGGGGGTGGATATTTTCTTCCAGTGTTGTATCCATGAGACCCATATCCACTTGGCTGTTGGAAAGGGCTGGCTGATACATTCACACTGACATTCACATCATGCTGCTTGGAAGAGGTAGGAGCCACAGGGAACACAGCAGGCCCATACTGGAAGATGCTGGGGAGCCCAGGAACCCCTGTGTAGTATGGCAGGCTGGTATAACTGTATCTAGGAGGCAGCTCTGGGTTCAGGAATGTCTGCTGCATGGTGTGATGAGTCTGTGTCTGGTTCTGTTGGGGCTGGGTCAAGGTTGTGGCTGGAGCTGGGGAGGATGCATCCCCATGGCAAAACTTTGTGAGGTCACTGGAATAAGGGTTGCTGGCTAGGCTACCATCCTTCCCAGTCAGTGGAGTGGTGGATGTGGGAAACGGGATGCTGCAGTAATCCAATGGAAACCTTGTCTGAAGCATCTGCAAGTCATCATAACCATACACTTGTGGCGGATGGGCATGTAACAGCCCTGGAGCCATAATATGTGGGTTAGGTAACAATGGCGGGACCCCAGGAGGGATGTTGGGAGGAGCTTTTTCTGAAGTTGTAGCAACTGAGCTTCGAGTTGAGGCCGTGACAATAGAGTTGCTGCCTAGGCTGAGACCCACACTACTGCCACTGTTGAGACTGGAAGAGATGCTGACCACTGGGGGAGGTGCAGAGACTGTGCTGGAAGTGGTAGAGGAAGTGCTAGAGGAAGAATGGAGAGTCGCTTCACTCTCCACACTTGTATGCAGGAGAGTGGATGTGGACATGTGCCCAGAAGATGTTGATGACAAGAGGGTATTCTGCTGCGTAGGTAACGTACTGCTGTATTGTGTGGTGGTAGTACTTGGAATCTCCTCTCTGTGGCTCAAGCCACCCATGGAGGAAGAGTGCTGATTGGTGGTTGTCAGTAGGGAAGCTGCAGATACCGTTTCATTGAGTGTGGAGATCCTAGACGTGGAAGGTGAGTCACATTGCACCGAAGAGCCTGTAGCACCTTCAACAGTCTGTAACTGTGTGTCCTGCATAGAACTGAAGACATTCTCTCTCTGAGTCAGATCCTTTTGGGGTGATGAAGCGATGGAGCTGGGGTACCGCCGAGTCTGTGTGGATCTCTGTTCATATAGAGGGCCCTGAGCATTGTTTTGGGAGGTATAGTTTGTCGACTGAATTGGGCCAATCTGATAACCAGAATCCTGACTCTGGTTAGATGAAATCGTAAATGAAGTTTCACTGGCTGTGCTGGTAGATAGGCTGCTTGGAGCCTGGCTTGAAGAGGCGCTCGTGGTGGTGGGGGACTTGTAATCAGAAAGGACAGGCTCTGACCTAAACTGCAATGCCCCAAACTGCAGATTTAGCCCTGAAATATCTGCTAAGCCAGGCATCTCTACAGCCAGAGCAGGAATCTTAGAAGTCAAAGAGGCTTTTTTCTTCTGCTTTTTCAGTTTCTGCTCACCAGGCTGAGGGCTGGAGGACTGGTTGTCTGAGGACCCAGAAGACATCTGTGGAGCTGAGGTGGATTTGCTTGGCAGAGTTAAAGAGGCGGGTGGAGGTGCAGCTGTGGAGGTAGCCACTGCAGGAAGCTTCTCCTGAAGGAACACCTCCGTCATGGTTGAAGACGGGGTGAAAGCCTGGCATTTTGTAAAGGGGCTGTGCACTGCTGAATCATTTGGGTTCTTCAAATCACAGTGCACCAGTGATGGGGACTGTGTCCTCGAGACCGTGTCCCAAGAGGAGGTGGTGGAGCTTCCAGACCGAGAATGCTGAGTTGCCAACTGAGCCAGGGCCCGAGCAGTCTTGAGACTGACATCACCAAATCCCTTTCCCGACATGCTCACTCTACCATGATGGGAAAACATGCTCCCCGAAGCAGGCCGTGATATGGCAGCCTGCTTCGAGTTACTGAATACCAGAGGTTGAGCCAGGGAAAGAGCCTGAGCTGGATCCATATTAGATGAATCATTCTCCATTGAAGATGAGGTCTTCCCCAGGAGAACAGCAAGGTAAGTTCTCTGACCAGCAGTGACGGTCACATTCTCTGCAGGCAGAGGCACTGAAGACACCTTAGAGGCAGAGAAGATCCTGGTCTCAGAAAGATCTTCATTCCAATCTTCAGTCCCCCACTCTTCTGTTGCAGCCTTCTGTGCACTTGTCCCATCATCTGGTTCAAAGTGACCAGTATTCTTCCATGTCTTGCCATAGTTAGCACCGGTATTGGCTGGCTTTGCATAATCAGCTGGGTTAAAAGTTCCCATTCCTTGAGCAGAAAACCTTCCTCCTCGCCTACCAGAGCATCCTCTGCCTCGGCCATGGCCTCTTTGGCCTCTTTCTGTGCCTTTTCCAGAAGGCCCTTCACTCTTGGTGCCATCCACTCCATTTTCCTGACGCCAGAACTCTCGTCCTCGGCTGGCACCTCTCCCCCGTCTTGGTGGCCCACCACGTCGTCGACTATCATCTCTGTCCCAGTCTCGATTTTCTTTGCCCTCCTCACTGGGTGCCGCCTGACCACCATCCTTCTGTCTTGAGACCCCTTTCTTCCTCCTGACCATCTCCCAAGGATGAGTGTCTGGGTTTCCTTCCAGAAGAACATTGACTGCTCTGTTGACATCTCCATTGCAGTCATGCAAAGCAATCGTACACTCATCCTGGTTCTTGTCTGTGATATCAATCAATTGTTTCACTTTCTCCTCAAAGTCAGTGTCATTGTGGTCTGAAATCATCTGTGGAGGCTGAATCTGTTCTGCAGTGGCCTGTGGTTGCTGCTTGTGCTGTGTCTGATTTTGGTTTTGAGGTTGTTCCCAGTTTTCCTGGGCTTGGTTAGTGCCCACCGATGTCATCCTTTACAGTATATACAAAAAACAAGGTAGAGTGCTCAGTCTCCTTCACACTGACACCCAGGCCGTGCCACCCCTGTCATAGTGATAGAAGATTGAAAAACATGAATCATTTAAAGCAATTATTTTCTTTTTTTTTTTTTTTATAAATCCCGTCTTTTATTTATTTATTTATTTATTTTTTAATATTTATTTATTTATTTAGTGTGTGTGTGGCCAGCTCAGCCCACCAGGGGGCGGGACTGGCTGGTATGTGGTGTTGGGGGATTGAACCGCGGTCCCTGTGTTTTGGTTAGTTTAGCTTGTTCTAAGTAGGTGCTTTAGACCACTGAGCCATCTCACCAGCCCCAATTATTTTCCCTATAATTAAAAGGTTAAGGGGCCGGGAAGATAGCTTGGTGGCCTAAGCATATGACTGTCAAGCGCAAGGATTGAATACAATCCCTGGTAACAAAACTGAGTGTGGTAGTGCACACCTGTAATCCCAGTGCTTTGTAGGCTGAGACAGGAGGATCACTACAAGTCTGAGCTACATAGAGAGACCCTATACCAAATAAATACGTAAATAAATAAATTTATTCATGATTAAAATGAAGTTAAAAGGTTAAGTTTTCTATGTCTAAAACAATATGGATTTCTTAAGCTACTTCTTAATATACTCTTGGTTAAGCTTTACACTAGGTTGAAAGGAAAAGGTTATATATTTTTAGGTCTGTGATTACTAAAAGTGGGCTTTATAAAAAGTAGGCTTTAAGAGCAGAGGAGTATTTAAATGTTAACCTATTAAATGTTTTCAAGAATCAGTTTATGATTGGTTAAATGAACAACTATTATCTTAGTTTATGAGAACTTATATATTTGGGGACATATGTACATATACATCTGAAACACAAGATGTACTGTGAGCCTAAGCTTTAAACTTAAGTTTATGGAGCTAAGACTACAAAAGCTTAACACATGCAAACTAACGAGAGGCGCTGTCTTTTAAACAGTATATCAATGGTCTGAGTTCAATCCCCAGTTCCGGAAAAAAAAAACAAAAAAACAAAAAAACACACCTATAATATTAGGGCTGGTGAGATGGCTCAGTGGTCTAAGGCACCTACTTGGAACAAGCTTGGCAAAGCACAGGGACCACGGTTCGATCCCCCCAGCACCACATGCCAGCCAGCCCGCTCCCTGGTGGACTGAGCTGGCCACACACACACACACACACACACACACACACACAAACAGTATATATCTAGAATTCAGACACAAAAAATGATCAAAATTTGGCATGTCTTTAAATCTGGTCCTGCCATTTAAAACTTAATGTATATGTACTGACTTTGCTTCAATGGCATTTGGTTATTGTGTGAGAAACACTTGTATATTGCATAGTAAGTCCATTTGCAGTCATTAACACTGCTCTCTAGGGCAGGCCAGATAGCTCAGCAGACTAAAGCGCCTGCACTTCACTCAAGAGTGCAGCGCCCTGGGTTTGATGCCCGGAGTGCTGTGCTGGCCCCTATTGCGAGGTGAGCTGAGATGGAGATTGAGACTGGGTGTGGTGGCGTGTGCCTGTAATCCCAGGTCCTGTGAGGCTAAACCCATGCGGATCACTAGGAGTCTGTCTAAATAGTGAGACCCAGCAGGTCCTGTAGTAAATACAATGAATAAATAAATAAATAAAAAGACTGGCTTACCACAATCAGCCACAGAGTTGGATGAGGAAGGCTGTAGTGGAGACTTCCTGCGTCTGCCCACTCAAGACTAAGGGATTCAGTCCAAGGTCTGGAGACTAAGGGATTCAGTCCAAGGTCAAGGCAGTGCTCCGAGCAAGTCCGTACCAGGAGGCCAATGCGTCTCTGATGGAAGGCAAGGCAGAAGCTGAAGCGTCTATGTTGGAAGCCAGCAGATGATGTCCAGGTTGACAGAGAAGACCAGAGCTCCTCTGAAGGAAATGGAATGCTCCCTCCTTCCCCATTTCCCTTTTAAATCCTTTAAGGGATGAGCCACCCTAGGGTGGGGCCTCTACACCCTAGGGTGTGGAGTTGCTGAGCCAACTGAGTTAAGCTTCTAATCTGCTCAAGTTGTCATAGATAATCAACCACTACAGGCTATCCTTGCCTCAACCTCCCTAGTGCTAGAATTACAGTTATAGGCCACCACAGCTGGCTTCTACATTTAATTTTTATGTCTGTCTCATTTTTTAAAGTATGGGCTACTTCACCAATTTGTGTGACATCCTTGCACAGGGGTCATGCTAATCTTTTCTACATAGTTTCAGTTTTTACTGTACTTGCTGCAGAAGCAAGCACCGTGTCTGTCTCATGTATTACTTGAAACTGTGGATCAGAGTCCTGCTCACCTCTGTGAGTTGACATGGTAATAACATAAGGAGTGTCTATAATGCAAGGGTTTCTCTCTTTCATTGATGTATTTGGTATAGTATCTCACTACGCATCTTGGACTCCTAGTGATCCTCCCGTTTTCAGCCTCCCCAGTGCTGGGATTACAGGAGTTCTCGACCGGGCCTAGACAAGTTTGCTAGCTCAGCACTCGCCAGGGCAGGGCTGGCACGGTGTTGAGACTCAATATAATACAAATTTTCATGAATCTAAATTTAACTAGCCTTGGGCTGGTGAGATGGCTCAGTGGTCTAAAGCACCTACTTAGAACAAGCTTAGCAAAGTACAGGGACCGTGGTTCAATCCCCCAGCACCACATGCCAGCCAGCCCTGCCCCCTGGTGGCCCGAGCTGGCCACACACACAGAGAATAAATAAATAAACTTTAAAAAAAAAATTAAAAAAAAATAAATTTCACTAGCCTGCCTCATCTCCTTGAAGGCTGAGGACACAAAGATTAGAGTAACTAATTTTCCAGATTTATAGGAACACCTAACTGCTAGCTCTTGGCTGTGCAGTTCCAGAGCCCTAGGTGTGACACCCTGAATCTCCACGGTCCAAAACCTGCAGTCACCTCAGCTTCTAGGAATAGCAGAAACTTCCAGACTGCCCCACATTGCAATCACTCCTTCCATGGGAGGAATTACTCCAGCACAGAAACCGAGGATGCTCCCTATGTAGGAGGTGGATCTCATGATGGGAAGTGAGCTCCTGTAGGAGACACTTCCTGGACCTCGTCTCGGTCCAGTAAGCCAATATTTTTAATCCCAAAGTCACGTTATTGGAATCCCATCAAGTTGATTCCAATCTACCACTTACAATGCTACCCATGGAGAAATTAAAGACACTAAATTATATTCTCAATCATCGGGGAGTCAAGGGGCTCTAAGTCTAGCCATGAAGATGGCTTTCCGGAACCAAGAGCATGACCCAGGGCCTCACCCAGTTTTATTCAATGGGGGAGTGGCTGGAGGAGGATTGACTGAGAACTGTGGGAAAGAAACTACTATGAGCTGAGCTAGGTGTGTGGCCTAAATTTACCTCTGC